CCTCCATATTCATTGCGCGTTCCATTACCCCCAATACGCAGTGGTGCGAAGAGAGGACACTTGCTTCCACCGCAGGGCACCCGAGAACATGAAGCGGGAGCCCCCATGCCTCAGAGGAGTGGGAGCAGGCCGTGGCCATGTGGAGAATGATGGAAAGGGAGTTGAAGAAGAAAACCTGTCAAGCAGAAAGAGATCAGCTTACATTTTTCATATTAACAAGTGAAAGATTCAAAAGATTTTGTGCTAAATTTTTTCATTTTGGGGGTCTTGTATCTCTCCATTAGTTTAGAAGAAATGCATTTAGAGCATGCTTATTAAAATCATGGCTGTTAGGATTTCACTGTGGGTTGGAAACTTGACCATCTGGTTTGCTTGTTGGCTTGTTTTCAGTGTTACCTGGAAGGTGTTGGATTCATTGATGCGAGGGTTATTATGATTCTCTGCCGGGCAGTCCATGTGAGAATACCCATCAGTCCAACTAGATGAGAAGTGGCATAAGGGACTGTGATGAGAAGCGGGGGACGTGTGCCCCACGGCAGTTCAGCACTCAAGTCCTGGTTGACATTTCTGCAGTCATGGGCAGCTCGTGCTACCTCATAGCAAGGAGGCTGAAATTTACTCTTCAGATCTGCTTGAGGATTGAATGTGATTATAAATATGCGAACGCCCCACTCATCTCCTGGCACATTGAATGTGTTCAGTAAACAGTGACTGTCCATGTCTCCCCACACTTTTTGTTGAAAAGCCGAAGTCTTGGATAAGCTGAAAACGTTCTCTGTGGTCTCTTCAGTCAGATTTCAACATTTCCTGCTCACCGTCTCCTTGCCTCCCACTCTTCCCTCGCGTGCACCCTGGCTGCCGGGAGGGAGCCCTAAGGCAGGGGTGTGGGCTTAGTTCAGTGAGCAAGAGGGGCCAACTCTGGCTTCGTGGTTCCACTCTGGGAAGTGACCTCTCCAAGGCAGGACTTCTTTTTGTGCCTCAATGTTACTGTCTGCAGGGAGAGGATAATCGTTTTCCCTTTGTAGGTTTGTTGGTGAGATGTAAAAAGCATAGACAAAAAGGGCTTGGGGGCAGTGCTTGTATGTAATAAAACATCTGCTGAATAATCAGCTGCTTACAGAGCTGCAGCGTAACTTCCTGGCTATTGTTATCTTCTTCCACTGCGTCCCAACCAAACTGTCCAAGTGTCCTCATCCTTCCCATTCTTATGCCTTGACGTCTAGCAATATAGTATGGATCTCTCACAGCCCCTCCTGTCTCCCTCCTTAGTGTTTTAGCCACTGTTGCCAATGGCATTTGTCTTGCTAACTCATTCTTTAGACTGACTGGTTTTTCCACTTCTTATGGGGTGTGATGTGGGTCAGGCTTTGAGTTGCTGACCATAGGTTGATGGGACTAATCCAACATCTATCAGCTCTGCTGGAGAAAGATGAGGCTGCCTGCTCCCATAAAGAATGACAGTCTCCGAGCCCTCTACTGTGGGCCACTAGGAGTGGAATTCGCCTCATTGACAGTGCATATGGGTTTAGATTTGGTAGCTCCTCTAACTCCACTCCTTACTTCCTGAGGTCTTTTTGCTCTGCAATGTCTTCAACAGGGTTTTGTTTTGTTTTTTTAAAAGAAAGAAAATAATAATTTCCCTTACATATTGAGCTGCTATTTGTCGCTATCTCCCCCCTTTTGACTGAGATCTCATAAAAGAAGGGGGTTAATTCTAATGCGGGGAGGGAGGGCTGTCCACATAGTTAGGATTGGGGCTGGCGCCTCAGACCTCTCTCTATTGGTTTCCTGCTTCATGCCGGTATGTTGCATTCATGTCTTGGAGCACCGGGTTGAAGCCTGGTCCCTCTGGTCCCACAGAAGAATTCACTTCAGAGGACAGCACTGCAGGGACATGTCTGATCAGAGCACATAGGAGCAAATGAAAGGGGAGTAAGAGAGAGTGGAGCACATCCTGGCCCACCAAGCCCTGAGGACGATATTCCAGCTCAGAGCAGCCAATGAACAGAGAACTATAGGGCCCGCCCCACTACGAGACACAATGTCCCTCACTGACCCATAGCCCTACAGGGGACAACACTGGAGACACAGTGCTGGAATAGTGCCCGATCTGACCCTATCACACCAGGGGCGTGCAGCAGGAACAGCAAGGGGAGCAGAGCAACGAAGTCCCCAGGGAATACCAAAAATAGACTTTGGGGCCAGGGCATGGCACCCCATCAGACTCAACTGGAAAACACTCCTAAAGGTCAACAAACAAACAGACCTTGAACTATTTACAGACCTTTCTTTTTTGGGACATTGGTTTTCGCTGCTTTGTTTTCTTTTCTTGCTTTGCTTTGCTCTATCTTTTTTTGTTGTTGTTGTTGTTCATATTATCATCTCTGCAAGTCCATCTAGATAAGATAGGGATAAACAATCTGGAGGAGAAAGCAACAGGACCGATGGATGGGTGTGGGGGGACATTGGAGAGGGGGAGGTGGGGGAAAGCAAGTGGGTACTAACAAACCCAGGGACAAGGCAACAACAAGTGATCTAAAATTGATGGTGAGAAAGGTGTAGAAGGTCTGGTAGGGCTTGATCAAGGGCAGTGTAACCGGGAGGAATTACTGAAACCCAAATGAAGGCTGAACATGATAGTGGGGCAAGAGGAAAGTAAAAGGAAATAGAGGAAAGAACTAGGAGGCAAAGGGCA